GATGGCAATGCTGCCCTCAGTATGCCCGTCATTCCTATGAACACAATTGCAGAAGCTGTGATTGAGATGATTAATCGTGGGCAAATTCAGATAACTATCAATGGATTCAACATCAGTAATGGGTTAGCAACTACTCAGGTGAGGCACTTGAAGATGCTTATGTTACATCTGTATGTTTTAACATAACAAGGAAAAAATCTCCAAGCAAATGTCTATCTTCTGCTATGTTTATTGGTTTAGTTCTCATACTGAAGGAGACTCACAGATGTGTTCATAAGCCACAGATGTACTGGAAGATGATCTTTCCCCTCAAAGATAGAGGGGTTCTATCAAGAGGTATCTAAGGTCCAAAGAAATTTAATCTTGTTTTGTGAAGATGACACTTGGTTGGTCAGAATTTGAAGGAAAGGTTTGCTCATTGCCAGCAGCCTACGGAGCATTTGTGAGCTGTTACAAAATTTCAGTTGTGTTTTTCTTTGGAAAAAAAAATTCTGGGTAATACAGGCAAAGTTATTCCACTGTATCTCAACAGTATTTATTCAACTCCTTGCATCTTTCTGAGCTATGCAGTATACCACCTCTCAGTGCTTAATAGTTCATGGGATTTTGGTGATAGTGACAGTTACTGATTTTGTTTAATACCTCTTCCTTTGCAGAACAGTTCTTCCTTTTTAGAAGTACCATATTTTGACATTGGCATAACTCTTGACTCCTGAATTTTTTTCAGTTTAGAGTTCTTCAGGAGACTCTTCTATGACATTTTATGAGACCTCTTACTATCACTGCTCTATCCATTATCTTATGCCTTGGCTTCTCTTTATGAGTTTGTTTGTTCACAACTGAGACTTTCCTTTCAGTTGGTAATAGGTTATGTCTTAGTTTGGTCAGTAAGCTTATTAGCATTTTTTTCTGAAGTTACTGTCCCCTAAGAATAATAGAGAATTCTTGTCTTGACACTCCACCACCAAGATGAAACAATCTAAGCTCTGTTGGTATATTTTTAAAACAGGATTTCTATCTCTTGGTCACACTAATATAACCCTTCTTTGTGCTTTATTCTAATTTGACACCAGCTACTTTTGGGTATAGGTCGACGAGAACTGTTCACTGGGTTTTTGAGGTCTCCTCAGTCACCTGGATAAGTAGCACTTCTACCAACTTCTGTAGAACTAGATTATCTTGTGCATCTTCTAATGGAGTCAGTGACAGTGAGTCATTGTCATTTACTTAAAATTTGTCAACAGTATGCTTATTTTGGCTGGCTGCACTGCCACTGAGCTAAATTAAAAAAAAAAAAAAAATATATATATATACAGAAAAAGGCTCTAAGTACGTGTTTTGCTCTGTCTGTCTTTGATCCTACCATTGCCTCTTACTATTAAAAAAAAATAATTAAAAATCATTTTTCCATTTTACTAATCATCAGGATTATTGCATTATAGTGATTATCCCAATTTCATCTTCTGTTGCTTTTATGAGCATATTCCTATTCTTTGTGAAGGCTGTAAGATCCATTATTTTTGAGGTCCATTAATAACTCTTCTAGTCTGATTTTCAGCATTTCACATTATTGCATTTTCAGCTAGTTCCTTGTAGTCTATTGGTTACATATTAGTCTGTATCTTCAGCCTTGATTATTTGTTCTGTGCCTATTGTCTTTTATCTTAAAAAACCCAAATCACTAAACAACAGAACAAAAACCATAAACTACAAAAGCCCCTTTGCTTTCTGAATACTTTTTTTATTCTTCCCTGAAGTCTTACTTTCATTTTTGGTCTCAAGGAAATGAAGCGACCGTAAGGAGGGAAGGAGTCCATATGTAACGCCTCTTTGTATGATTCTTCTTTCCAATTGTTCCAGTTAATTGGAATTTCAGGGAGATACATTAGGGCATGAAAACGCCCAGTGTTTTGTGCCTTGGTAGTTGCAACATAGTGTCATTCACAAGTGTGTAGGCATACCAGTTAAATTATTGTTATTGGTAAGTACACAATTTTGTTTCATATAATAAACCCAAAGATACGCTTACAGTAACTTACAATGCTAACAGACGTTGCAGTGTTTCTCAGGACAATTTGACCAGGCATGGTCTTAGTTCTTCAATTTCAGTGTTCCAGTAGCTTTTTTTTTTTGTTTGTTTTTTTTGTTTTCTTTAGATTAACAACAAAGCAGCAACTGGTGAAGAAGTCCCACGGACTATAATTGTTACTACCCGTTCTCAATATGGCTTACCAGAGGATGCTGTTGTATACTGTAACTTTAATCAGCTGTATAAGATTGATCCTTCCACTTTACAGATGTGGGCTAATGTGAGTATCTATATCTAACATGAAAACTAAGGTCAGACTTGTGGAACATAGCTGTTCTGTTCAGGTTAGCATAAACTGCATGCAAGTTAACACTGTGGAAAACATTGACTCTGATCCGTTTGAATCCTTACAATGCTCATGTTGCAGGACTTAGTGTTAATGGAATATAGAAATTTATAGACTGATTTCAACTCACATCTGTGCTTCTAGCCAGTGAAAAATTACATATTGGGCAGCATAAGTATGCTGGTACTCCATTGTGAAGTAAGTTTTGGTCTTCCCTAGTCTGCACAATTAAGTCATAAGTAGTCTTGGCGGTTGGTAGATGGATAGATACATCTGGGCACGAGTATCAAGGTCCAGTATTGAATGATTATGCCTTTCACTCATTTTGGTATGTGGTAGTTTCTTGTTCGGAAGAGGAAATGTTTCTGACCAAACTTCATTTGCTTCTTTATTTTTGTTACAGATCCTAAAAAGAGTTCCGAACAGTGTGCTGTGGCTGCTACGTTTCCCAGCTGTAGGTGAACCCAATATTCAGCAATATGCACAAAACTTAGGTCTTTCCCAAAGCCGAATCATCTTTTCTCCTGTTGCCCCCAAAGAAGAACATGTGAGGAGAGGGCAGTTGGCTGATGTTTGTCTAGACACTCCGCTTTGCAATGGGCACACAACTGGGATGGATGTACTCTGGGCAGGGACTCCAATGGTCACTATGCCAGGTAACGCAGTGGGGAACCTATACAGAATGGTTTGCATATTAATTTCTTAATAACGAACAGCAAGCCCAACAGTCTTCCTTGTCTCTTATAGAGGCACAAGGAAAATAACTCGTGCTCTGCAATATGTTACTTGATAAGCTTACTACTCTTTTTTTATTTACAGGCGAGACTCTTGCATCACGAGTTGCTGCCTCCCAGCTTACTTGCCTGGGTTGTCTTGAGCTCATTGCAAAAAGTAGACAGGAATATGAGGATATTGCTGTGAAACTGGGAACTGATCTGGAATAGTAAGCAAACTTGTACTGTGTATTGTGGTAACATCAGGAATGTAAAGTGCTGTCTTTGGGCACAGTGCTAAGACTTAGCAATAGTTCTAATCTTGCAGATACTTTAAAATAGCTAGGCAATTCTCATCTAGAGATTTCTTGTCTTGCAGTTAACTCAGCTTCATGCTTTTACAGTAGACTTAACAGCTCTCCCAGCTGAGTAACAATGCTACCTGTTCTGAAGAAATTGCTCATGTACAGGCTCTTACCTGGTAAAGAGTGCAATATAGTTCACCTTTTGTTCTTTTTATATTGAAGATCGAGCAGTTTGTTACTTACTGCAAGTTAATATCACGCTGTAAAAAGTTACGGCAGTTCAGATAATGCAACAAGTTGATGTGTTCATGTTGCAGCTCTTCTGAGTTGAAGTGATTGTGCTAGTCTCTATCAGAAATGATGAGGGGATGAAACAGCAGTATGAGTTTGGTGGAACCGGGGGAGCAGTTCTAGGTTAGCTGAAAATAGTAGGTTTCAAAGTAAACAGTATTATGAAGTGTTTGTAACCTCTCATGACTGCTTTTAACTCTTTTTGTAGCCTGAAAAAAGTACGTGGCAAAGTCTGGAAGCAGAGAATATCCAGTCCTTTGTTCAACACAAAACAATACACAATGGACCTGGAGCGGCTTTATCTTCAGATGTGGGATCACTATGCTGCTGGCAACAAACCAGACCACATGATTAAGCCAGTAGAGGCCAGTGAGTCTGCATGAAGGGAGAGTGTCTGTGTGCCCACCCAGAACTCTTCAGGAACTGAGCCTCTCAAACAGTTCTGCAGAGATGATGAGCTAAAAACTGTGCATTTCTACTTAATCTGCCTGGTACTCTATGGCTGAAGTAATACATGATGGTGATTAAAGCACACCCAGACTTATTTCTTGCATGATAGGGGAAGACTCAATGGAGCCTGGCATCCTTTTATTCCATGAGGAATTTGAATGGGATTATGCCGTGTACATGTGAGCCCGTGTGTATGAGTGATGTAGTGATTGCTGGGAGAAGTTTGAACTGCCCAACCAATTATGATTTCATGGATTGATTTAACCTTATTATGAATCCTTTTATGTGGATTAGGAATTGGAGCATTTTAACATTTGGTTTTGGGTATTCCAGTTGGTATACGCATGGTTCTCCCATGACAAGATTTCCAGCTAGCGAGTGTTGCTCCCTGCATTAATTTCTAAACTGTGTGGACTGAAAGGGCATATTTGCTGGTGTAGTCTTTTTTTATAGGTTTTATAAACCACTTGAGCCTATATCAGCCTTTTAATGTTTGACCTCTGTTTTGGAGCTCTCTGTAAGGTGTTGATTTAGATAAGGACTTCGGGTTTTTTGTTTTGTTTTTAAGCTTCTCCGATAACTCAGCTAATTGGCTTCATAATGGCAGCTCCTATTCTGTTGAAAAACCAAATTTGATTTGAAATTAATCTTCTCCACAGGTGTTCGAGGTAAACACAAACTGGTGCCAAATACAGATCTTTCAGGAATGATTGTTCATTATGTATAGAGTCACAGTCCTAGGTGCTGTAGAAAAGACTTCAAACAAAAAATAAAGCTTTGGTTTGCCAGTTTGACTGATTTGACCAGTGTTTCATGTTTTCTGCTGCCCTTGTGCTGCTGTCAGAAAAGTGTTCTGAACTGCTGGCCTTTTGTCCTCCTTCCTGTAATTTTTGTTTAAATAATGCCGTTTATTTCAGCAGAAATAATCCCAGGTAAGTGTGGATGTGGTACATAGAGGTTTCAGTTTCCACTAGGTTAGAGTAAACCCACACAAATGTGAAAGCTTTGGTGTGTGTGCATGCTTAATTTGGAAGCGTTCTGGGGCCTCACGGCAGCTTACTACTAGTGGCCTTCACAGTGCTGTCATCTTGGGTCCCACTCTGTAGTACCTTGGAAGTCACGGCCTAAGGTCTAAATCAGTATTTTTGTTTTAACGAAGCAACGCGAGCGTTCCCCAACTCCTAAATCGTGGGTTAAGGACTGCACTTTGAATCGCGTACCGGCCTTGCTCATGCTCCTGGCGATGCTGCTGGTGTGTGAGGGCTGAGATCGTCTCCCAGTTGTGCTCAGCGTGAGGCGCTGCTGCTGGTGCTGGGTGACCCTGCCTGGGGAGCGTCCCCTGTCCCGGCGGGTGCCCCGCTGGCAGCGCACCCCGGGAGGGAACCCCGCCTCTAGTCCCTCTCGCCGGTGTCCGGGGGAGGCGGGGTGGGGGGCGTCCGCAACCCTTTCGCCGTGGCCGCGCCGCCCACAGCCGCGGCCGGTCGCCGCCCTGAGCCGTGTGCGCAGGCGCGGGCCGGCGCGCATGCGCCCGCGCCCCGGAGGCGGCGCGGGCTGTTCGAAGCGGGATGGCGGAGGCCGCGGTGCGTGGTGGCCACCGGCCCTTCCCCCGGGCCCGGCCGCTCTCGCCTCTCTCCCGTTTGCAGCTCGAGGAGGCACGGGGCACGGTCCCCCGGGGCGGTGAGGGCCGGCGGCGGGCGGGCGGCGGGACCGGCGGCTCTTCCTGCCGCCCGGCGACGGGCGGCGGCAGCATAGCCGTGGGCAGCCCGGGCCCGCGGCGTGGCAGGTGAGGCGGCAGCCCCGTCCCACGCGGCCTCGTGTCCTTAACTGTGTTTATTGGTTGTACCTAAATGTAATTTTAGATTACGTCCTCGGTTGTTTTATGGTAATTGATAGGTATTGGCGTGTTTCAGAGTTACAGTCTTTAAGGTCCGAGTAACTTTAATATAATTAAAGGTATCTGCCTTCATATTTTTAAGCAATTGCATGGTGCATTTTTCAAGTTAACTTTTGGGTTTTGTCAGAAAATGAAATAAATAACTTGTTAAGAATATTATGGCCTGCCTCTACATTTACATGAGAATTTCAGGCCGATGGTAATGCATCCATGCTGTGTCTTAAAATAGCTTTATGAGAGCTACTGCAGTTTGCTAAACATTTATGGCAACCCTGTTAAAATGCACTTTATACAAAAGTAGCTTGCTTCTCATTGCTGCGTACTTTGAGGTTTCGGACTTAATACAACAGTGTTCTCTACCTGATCATATACCATGTGTAAGATGAGAAACAAGCTTTCTATCCCTGTTGACTTCTGATACTCAATTTGAACTTAAACCAGTGTAATGTCCTAAGCCTGTGTCTCTAAACGGTTCAATCTTTCAGATTTTGACAGCAATTGATTATTATTTGAATATTGAACATAATATGGGTGTTATAAATTTTAACATGCAAATTATATTTATATTTTAAATAAATTACAACAGTTCAGCCTATTTGAGATTTTCAGTGTTTTTTCAGTATATATTTGGTTCTCAGTGTTCACAGGTGTTTTGGACCAGTGGAGATGCTTGCTGTTGACCTAATGTTCTTGATACTGTTCTGCATTTCATTTTTTGCAGCCATGCCCTGTATTTCTCTTCCAGCAGCGATGATGAATTCGAAATGTGTAAGTAATAACACAGGTTAGTTTGTTTCTGAAAAGGACACATTTCTGTGTAGTTATAGAGAAGTAGTTTTTAAGCGTGATTTTTCTTTTATGGCTGCTGCTGCAAAGTACATTTTGTCTTTGCTGTGCAGTGTTGGTAGCTATATGCTACAGTGAGTGTTCTTGAATCTTGCTCGTGTCTCAATCTTAGATGCTTTGCAATTATTTGTTCTTTTTGCCTCATTTTTCTCTGTTCCCTGTCACTCACTTCCTTCTTACTCTATGGGGCATCTTTGCATTAACATTTTCTCTAAGCAGTTACAAACACATGTCTAAACTACTCAGAATTTCCTCTTGTGTCATGGCTTTTGCTGCATGAGCTAACCAGTCGGAGGCGTGGGGTTTGGCTTCTGCTGTCTCAAGGTTTTAGTAAGATGGAATTGAATAGTAAATTTTACATGGTGGCTTCTGCTGTGCATAACTTTCCTATCTTTATGTTTAGCCTGTACATACAAAACCTGTTATTCATGTTGTGCTAGGGTAGTTGAGTATACGCTGTTTTTTTTCTTGTTGCAAGAGTTCTGTTTAGCTCATTTCTTAGATGGACTAATCATGACTCTACCACATCCCAAGTGGGTTTCAGATGCTAAGTAATCTAAAGGTTTGTAAATATGTTCCTCATTACATATTCAACATTTGAACAGAGATGGTAGAAACTGTAAGGCAACAAGCTGTATTTGTTTATTTTGCATTTTCCTTATCACCCTTATGTTAGTCCAACAGCTTTTAAAGCAGATTTCCCATTACTTTAGAGTTCATGCTGTGATCCATCTCAGTGGCCCGTGAATGACCTTAAGTTTCATCAAGCCTTACTACTTGCGTCTAATTGAATTAAAATGTGCTGTTTGTAGTTCCTGCCTTACCCATGGGCTTTTAAACCTGATAAATATTTCAGTACTGTCCATTCATTATGTCATTGTTCACTTTATTGTAATTTTAAAAAATTTCAATATTTGACAGTCTGCTCTTTTTTCCTACTCTTTTTTTTGCCTCCATCCAGGAGGCTGTTGAGGCCAAAGTCATAGGTCAATTCTGGCATGGAAGATAGCTGGGGGTAACTAGTTAGGGCTTAGAGCAGAATATTTGCAAAGCTATTCTATTGCTATGCTATCACTATAGTGACAGTTGTAGGAAACAGTGAAATGAAATTATGTGCTAAGAGACAAGAAACTAAAGGGAATCGATTTATTAAGTATCAAGTCACATTTTTATGTAAGCTTTTGGTTTCCTGTGACCAGCTGTCAGCCTTATTTGGTACTGCTTTGCAGTCTAGGAACACTGTTGTTGTGGTTTGGGCCTGGTCGGAAGCCAACCACCACGCAGCCACTCTCTCTCTTCTCTTCTTTTCCGGCAATAAGAAGGGACAGAGAGCCAGGCTTGGGGTTCGAGATAGGACTGGGATAGGGAAAAATCCCCCTTTATGGGCACGAGCAAATGGCAGACTCGTTAGGGGAAGAAAAAAAGAACATACATTTATTACAGACACTAACAACACTTAACAGAGTAGGACAGTGAGAAGCATTGCCACATCTTGAGAACACCTTCCCCCCACCCCTCCCTTCTTCCCGGGCTCAGTTCTGTTCCCGGTATCTCTACCTCCTCCCCCAGGGGCACAGGGGCAGGGAATGGGGGGTGCAGTCAGTGCTGCCACTTCCTTTATCTTTGGTGGGGGGAGCTTCTGGAACTTCTTCCCACTGCTCCATCGTGGTCCCCCTCTCACAGGAGACAGTCCTCCACAAACTTTCTCCAACGTGAGTCCCTCCCATGGGCCGCAGCGTTCCCCACACTGCTCCGTCATGGGTCACTAACTTCCTCCGACTGGATTCCCTCCCACGGCTGCAGCCCTTCCCGAGCTGCTCCGGCGTGGGACTCCCCCACATGCTGCAATCCTCCCAGCACTGAATTACAGCAGCGGGGCTGCCTTTTCCCACAAGACCCTGGCCTTCTTCAGGCACATCACCTTGATCAATAAGGCAGAAGCCACAGGCCATAAATCAATGTCTGCTCCACCGTAGATCTTCATGGGTGGCAGGGGGGGCCGCCCTGCCGTCTCCCCACAGGATACAGGGGGGTCTCTGCTCCGGCACACCTCCCCCCTCCTTTGTTCCTCCGTTCCTCCACTGACCTTGGTGTTCACGCAGCTGCCACAACTTCTCACAAGTCTGCTTGTCACCACGTCCCTTCTTAAGTACGTTATCGCAGAGGTGCAGCTGATTGGCTCAGTTTTGGTGCAGAGGTAGAGCTGACTTGGAGCTGGAGGAGCTTCAAGAAGCTTCTCACAGGGGGGGTGCTCCTGTAGCCCCCTCCCCTGCTACCAAAAAACCCCACCTCTCACTCAAACCCAGGACAACTGTGGTTCTGATCATCTAGGAAATCTGGCTGCTGGCCATTCAGCATGCCACCTTGCTGTGGTGGCTTGGAAAGGTAGCAGATGCTCTGTTTACTTCTTTTGTAATGAGGGTAGAGGTGATGATTATTGGGTGCTAAAACTGAAAGTAATTTATTGCTCCAAATACTTTTTGAGTTTCAAGGTCTTGAATTCTTTTCCCCCACCTTTGTGCTTTTCTTCAAAGAGGACAATGCTCAATCCCATCCTATGCTGTTTTTAATTTATGGTTTGCATTTGGGTGTAGCTCAGCTGCTCTTCCTGGTACCAGAATCTACTGATCTGCCATAAAAGCTTTATCAAGAAAACCTGTCTTCTAGGTTTGGGTTTATGGCATAGTGCAGAAGTTTGTAATCCCATTGAAGTCATTCATTCATCTTCAGACTGTGAGAACAAACTTTCCTTAACTGCTATTTTGGCCTGTTATGTTCTGAAGAAGGGGCAGTCGTTTCTCTTCTCCGCAGCCTGATTTGTGCTTTAATGAAATTTGCTCCCCTTCAACTTTCCTGAATCTCTTGTAATGATGGTGTGTGAAATTTTAATGGCATATCTGATAATCTCTCAAAAGTCACTACTTCAAGCTTGTGCAGTATAGATCGCTGAACTGTGTTTTCACATTTAGCAATCACCACAGTATTGCTGGAGACATTACAATCCATTTATTTATAAGAAGTAGTGTTGAATTGCTGCTCTGCAATTGGGTATTGTTGTTACTGTTTTGTTCAAACATTTTTTTGGAGTTGTTTTCTGCAGTAAGCGCATGGACACCTCTTTGCAGCAGGAAAACTACCACCTGCAGTCATTTAAATGCTCGGAGAAAATGTTTATAAACCCATTCAATTCCACTCTCGATGATCCACGTGTACAAAGAGGCTGTACTGGATACTGCAAGACACGTAACGGCACTTCTTGCCTGACTTTGTGCTGGGCAAGGATTGAATAATGAAGGAAATGCTAGAAAGCTGCTGTCAGCTTTGAGGAATTGATAGTTGGAGTTATATGTAAAGAATTCTTACGTATGTTTTTCTGTAAAGACTTTAAACTGAATTTTTACTAGTTGCAAACTTTTCTCTTAAAAAAATGAATAACAAAAGAAATAGAACCTTGTTCTTAGTTAATCTTTTATTGTTTCAGTTTCAGCTAGAATGAAAACTCCCAAATCTGTTTCTAAAAAGGCAGATGCAAGGTGGGTGCTGCAATTAGTGACTTTTCAGTGTTTATACATTAGACTTCTGTATCACATCTACTATTCAGAAGACAGAAAAATGATCAAAGTTTTAGTGATTGATAGGCAGATACGTCCATAGAAGTGAGTGCAGACAGAAGAGCTGTTATGTGTTCAATCTGTATGTTCAGGTAAAATGGGGTGCTTGGAGGTGTACATGCTCTGTTGCCATTCCTATTAATGGACGTAGTTGGTAACATTTGCTGTGAACAACTGATGATGTTATACTGTGTGGATTTTTTTTGGTTCACTTTTTTAGTAAGGCAAATTTACTCTTCTGTTTTCCTGCTAGTGCCTACCTTTTTTCACATTATTTGCTTATTTTACAGTTTGAAGGACTTAACTGATGACTCGGGTGATTTCTTCTTGGACTTTAAAGTGAGAGAGAGCACAACAAAGAATGGCAAGTAATTGTCCAACAGCAAATATGAAGCAGGCATTTTAATGGGTGGAAAGATAGCATTCATTGCTGAACTCATAAATTTCTGAGAGCTCATTAAACATAAAATCACTTTGTCTCTTCCTTGAGGGTAATAGATGAGAGGCTTTTCTGTTTCCCGTGGGGGTAACAGGAAAGCATGGTCATATGTGTTCGGACAAGAGTACATTTTGAAGCATTGTTGTAGGTCTGCAGATACTGTGGACTGTCTGCTAATATTTGGGTCTGTGAAAAGAGTAGCAATTCATGGTTGATTAGACTGAGCTGCAAATATGGGATGATCACTGTGGAGAGATGACTGAGGATATGCAAAACAGTGTTCCTATGGCTGTACCAGCTCATTTTGTGGCCAGAAAATGTGAGTAGAGAAAGGAGACTGTTAAGCTAGATGCCTTTAATTTGATGATGATGTGTTGGCAGTCAGGCCAGTCTTGCCTATGGGTGTTGCAGAGCCACAGATAGAGTCCTTTAATTCGGAGCATCTTTAGCCAAGGTCCTGTGTGTAATCCTGTTAACACTGGCTACAAGATGTTCTGGTAAACCATGACTTGAGGGGTTTCAGTGCTTGTCTGTGCAGAGGGATCCCTGTTTTCCCCCAAGGGTTGGAAAGTGCCTTGGTTTACTAACATTCGCAGCCTGACTGCAGCTGTCCAGTGTACTTACTGATACAAGCAAATTGGACTTCCCTAGGAGTGAACAAGGCTCTGGAATTCTTTACGAAGCCAGTAGGGGCCAGCAATCATGTGATAGGATTCTAGTTAGATGAGGTATGATAACAGTGGTCTCATGTGAACCTGGAGCAGCTCTGACCTCTGATCAAGAGGGGTGGGATCTCTTGCAGCTGGTGTGGATGTCAACCCTGAGACGTGTGCCAGCTGCAGACTGTAAAAAAACTAATGGAATGGTTTCTGGAGGGGAAGTGGGGGAAGCAAAATGGATCAGAAGTGTCATTTAAAAAAAACCTGACCAATAGATCTGACATGATCCCTTGATCTTGAGATATCAAATCTGAGATGTCAGAAGCCTTGTTTGTTGGCAAGTATGTGCTTTGCTGTAGGCTGTGGTCCAGTCAGCTAAGGCTAAGCATTTTTTAAGTCATCCTTCACTTGGTGGTTTATAAAACTGTAATATGAAATGTTCAGCTTTACTCTTACATGTACATAGCTTTTCTTACTAGGAATGATGATTATGCCAGCACTAGCTGCTTATTCAGGATTGTTAGGCCTGATGGCTGATGTATACATACATATGGGGTTTAAACTACCTTTTTAATACATCTTTCAGTGACTTTCCATTTAGTATGATGGTAAATAAGAAGGGTGTAATAAAGAAAATGTGAAGATATATTTCTATTCTTTGTGTTTTCTTGTCTTTCAAGGAATTTGTGTCAAGAGAAAGGCAGGTCTCCTAAATGAAATTACCAGAACTTTAAGCTGTTTCTTTTGAATTGCAGGACAAAAGGATCTTCACACCCCAAAGAAGCTGATGACTTCTGGAAAGAAAAACACTTGCTGCCAAGAATTGCAGTATCCAGAGGCTTCAAGTGATGCTGAAGATTCTGTCTTTGTAGAAAGTCCATGGCATGACTACCAAAAAGGGGAAGTGAAAGACTTGAAAGAGAGCTGGATGTGCATACTTCCACAAAATCTGAAAGAGTCAATTTCCAGAGGCAGTCCAGACTTGCTTGTTAGAAGGAAAGAAGGAAGCTGTGAAAAGAGTACAGAAAATAAAGTGCCAACTGAGGCACTACGACAAAGTACAGAGGTAGAATCGGATAGCTCAGATGACGAATTTGAATCGTTAATAGAACGGATAAGGAAACAAAGTATACGCCGAAAACCAGTCTTAAGCACCAGTAAAACTGTCTACCAGACAAGCATGACAGGTAAGCAGTTGTTCTTAGCTAAGGTGCAAGCTACTTATTGGCAGCAATGATAGTGCTAATTGCCTTTCTTTTCACTTGTGTGGCATATGCTTTAGAAGTGCAACCCAGCATTTTGCAGTTGAATTTTATGCACTCAGAAATTATTCCCTTGAGCTTTCTGGAAAGTGATTCTACTAGTCTTGTATCAAGATTTAAGTTTTTCACTGTTGCATGTTTTTATAATTCCTAGGCATTTTTAGTTTTAAAAATTGTTCTGAAAACAAATCTAACTGGTGGTTTTGACTGATGTAAACTTAATTTTTTTTAATGTATGATCGCAGTTAATGTGAAGCTGTCATTTTAGTAGGACTCACAGAAATTTTGAGCAGTTTAGATGCTGTTAATTTAGTATTTGGATTTATACTTGACTTTATTAAAATACAGTTTATAATGAGAATTTCCTAAATCAGTAGCTGCTCCTCTCCTTTAACTGCAGTAGTCTCCAACTGAAAAATTGCAAAGGGGGAAAAGGGCAATTGCTGAGTAAGAGCAGGTGAAAACAAATCTCTTTTCTAGAAAAGTAAACACAAGGTGCTTTCCTCACTAACAAGGGCTAGTTCAGGGTAAGGAGACCTATGGAAGAAGATGGTTGACAGCATAGAAATATGCCCTGGGAAAGAGCAGGGTTTTTTTTTTTTAATTGGAATTAGGTCAATGTGGTCTATGAAACATATTCTAGAAGTGAGCTGGCAGCTGCATTGACTTCTCTGTATAAGGTTCAACAGTGAAAGGAGATAAGTGGCCCAAGTAGGTGAACAAATATAGAAGAGCCAGCAGAGAGAATGTCTACTGAAACTGCAAACCTTGGAGCAGTCCTTGATTGCTGGTGTGAGGATTGGTCATTTTAGCAATCTGTCCAGATGTGGACTGCGGAAATAGGCAGCTATCTGATCAGGACTTGCCTGTGAAACAAAATATGTGACTTATGGTACATGACAGAAGGTTAGAACAATTTTTTGGTTCAAATGGTGTCTCTGCATTATTGTTTCTAATGTGCTGGTGATACATTTTGAGTTGGTGAAATGTCTAAGAAGTGCCTGAGTGAGGTCACAAATGCTTTTTCCCTCCACTTCCTCCTAGCTGAATGTTTGAAAGTTTGGAATCTGCTGAGCCTTCACTGAATAGTAATTTTTGTAGTATATAATGGCAAATTACCTTTCCATCAGTTTTAAAAGCCTTTGCATTCAAGTATGCACAGTAGGAGTTGTCTGTTACCTGGTTGCTGACATCTCTGCTCCCAATTCTTTGACATTGTGTAATCGTGTGACTCCTGTTGAACTAGAAAACATCAAGCCACCCTGTGAGGATGCGAAGCCCTTGAAAGGGGAGGGAGTCAAGACACCAAGGCCAAACTCCACTTCACTTCAGGAAACACCTTCCAGGATAATGACTTCTATAAGAATTCCTAGGGATGAGTTGGTCAGTTGCTCACAGTCATCAAAGACAGAGAAAAAGTAAGTGTTTCTCCATTCTTGCTATGTTCTAGGACCATTGTAGATGGATGAAGAGATGCTGAGCATTTTGTCTACGATGGCGTTCTGATTTTTCTGGTACCTAGAAACTCATGCTACCAATTCAGCAGCTGTTAAGGGTTAGCTGGAAATCAAAGTTTTCAGTCTCAAGTATGAGAGGGAGAACATAAGCTAATCTCCATTTAGAGGAATTTATGGTAAATCAATCTGACAAATGTCACCTCTTCTTTGTAAATGTTATCTGTCTTGGTACTGCATACTTGTAATGTGTGCTAGCCTTACAGATTCTGTCTGTCCAGCTGTCTGCCTCTGAAAATATATCAGAATTGATTCTATTAATAATTCATGCCTTTTAACAGGCTTGTCTTGATATTTTTGACCAGTATCCTTCTAACTTGCAGAATTCATGTTTCTTTTTCTATATGTGAATGCAGCATAAACTTTTCAGAAGAAATTTTTTTTTTTTTTTTCATTTCTAATAGCTGCCTTTATTCTGCCTTTTAACCATGTGATGTTTTCTTTGGTCATTGTATAATTGTGTATACCAATACAAAATCTTTAGAGGAAGACTTCAAAGCTGATGCTTTGTCAGAATGCTGCAGTACTGTAGTAATCCTGGTGGAATATCTACTTCCCCTGAATGAATTCCTGAGGATTCTCAGAACATCTTTGTCTATGCTTCCAAAAATAATCCTTTATTGTGGGTGATCATGTTAGAGCTGTTCATATATTGATCAAGTTTTGATATAATTGTGGTGCGGTGTGTCACAAAGATCTGAGCCACCCTCTTCTCCTATTTTGGAGTCCTCATAATCTGGTTTTGTGAATTATTGAAATAACTGCAGAAATGTTGCAACAGCTCTGCCCCTTCATGCCCCTGAGGGGGGAAGAAGACAGTATAAGCATGTGCACCTCACTGGACTTGTGAGGGCAAGTTAGTGAAAAGAGTCAGGAGAGGTTTATGACAGTGGAAGCATGCTAGAGATCTTTATTGTCTATAAAGTGGCCATTATTTTTCAATGTGATATCTGTACTTCAGTAAACTGCTGTCCTGGTTTGTGCTGGAATAGAGTTAATGTTTCTTTTTGGTAACTAGAACAGTGCTGTGTTTTAGATTCAGCATTGGGTTTGGTATAAGAAGAATGCTGAGAGCACACTGATGTTTTCAGCTGCTGCTGAGATTTCAAGGGCTCTTCAACTTCCCATGTCCTGCCCCTGTGCACAGGGAGCAGGGAGGGAGCACAACCAGAGCACCAGACCCAAACTGGCCAAGGGAATATTCCATATCATGGAACGTCATGCTCACTGTGTAGAGGAGGGGCGGTCGGGAAGGGGGGCTCTCTCTCTGTCTCGCTCTGGGATTGCGATTGCAGGATCTTGGTATTTCGGGATCACTGGCTGGGAACGGGCTGGGTGTTGGTCAGCAGGTGGTGAGCAATTGCACTGTGCATTGCCCATTTATATTTTCTATTGCTGTCATTGTTTTCATTTTATTACCATTGTGAAACTGTTTCTATCTCAACCTGTGAGTCTCCCTTTACCCCTCCAATTCCCTCCCCCATTCCCAGGTAGCGGGGGAGGGTGGGTGAGCGGCTGCGGGGTGGTTGGCTGCTGACCAGGCTCAAACCATGACAACTACGTTATGGCTTTTCTTGTAGGCTCAGAGTGTGCTCAGTGCCTGGCTGTTTCTTGCAAGATCTCTCAAATCCGGCTTCCCACTATGTGAAATATTTCAAGAAAAATAAAGAGGAGCTGGCACAGAAGCTCTATTGTCTGTATAATAGTACCATCTTTGAGCACAAGGTTGGTTTCAAAACAAAAACTACCATTCTGAAATGCTGGTTAGTATGTTGCTCCTCACTTTTTGATGTGATTTCTCTTTATCATCTTCAGTTAGTATAAGTTAAGCTTTACAGCAATGGCTTATATTTGAATTAGTTCAATAAACTTATTTGAAAGAGATTTATCAGCACTGTGATGCAGCAGTTTTCAGCTTGGCTTGCTTTCCTAGCTGTGATGGTGCACCATCCTTAAGTAAACAGTCTGGATGGTGTCCAAGAGTCTTTAATGAGAGAAACTGCTACATGAGGGGCCTTGGATCAGTTGCATATTTGCAGAGGTGACTGATCTTTATGTATTTTCTAGCACCTGCGTGGTCATCAACTCAGCAGCTTGGTAATGTTTCTGTTGCTGCCTCCGTGGCAGTAGACCCCAGCAAAGCAGCTATGGCTCTCTGCTGCTGAAAGAAGCTCAAGGTTGCCTACCACCATTGCTCATTCAGCTTTTACTGAAGTAGCATGTTCTAATCAACTCTGCAACATTACCGCAGCCTACTAGCTAGTTCTATCACAACTTTCTTGCCTGCAGTTGACAAAAGGCAAGTGGCGGGAGCATATGTTGGGGAGCAGGTTGCTGATGGATAAAAGCACTTCCCTTTGTTATTAAGGCCTGTTGCCTCATACTTAGTCATGCTACATGCAGTCTTCATTCATTCCTATTGCATGTTCATGTCTGCCGTAATGGAACAAATTAAAAAGCTGCTTATCCTTTGAATAACAGTTTTAGGTGAACCTAAAGCTATAAATTGTGTTTCAAATGGAAGGTTTAATTTCGGAGAACTGCTGTCTTGACCTTTACATCTTCTCTGTGATACTAGAGACCCTCCTCTTGTGAGAAATCCTTGAAAGGAAGAATACTACCCTCAGAAATTCCAATAGAATTTGCTTCAGGAATGAAAATGTTTCTGTTCAGCTGAGAAAATATTGTTGAGCTGACCAAGGATAGCCTGAGATCACTGTTTCACACAAAGCTGAGCTGCACAGGCTCACTATTGCTAAAAGCAAAATATCTTGGAAATTCTGTTTTATGCCTGAGCTGTCCTTGTCTTTCCTCTTGGCGTGTATTAGCCACTGTTGGAGACAGAATAGAGGAACTAAGGGACTTTTTGTCTCCTGCATTGTGAAACTCCCAGTGTTGGTTACAGAAAAACTGGTGATGGTAATACAAACCTACTCTCTATGGTTTCTTATCTTAAGTGACGACAGTGTTAAGGGCACTAACAGAGACACCCTATACTGGCTTTGCAGTAAATATAAGGGGAAGCCACAGGGCCAGAAGAAAAGAAAGGTAGCGGAGGGCAGATTACATGTACTGTGTTGTTTTTCAGCTACCAGAAAAAATGGTAATAATCTGGAATAAGAAAATGAGAAAAACAGCAGGATATTGTGTAACTGGGCAGACAGACGGTCCTGACGCAAAGCGTTATGCTCGCATAGAGCTTTCTGAGAAAGTCTGTGACTCTGCAGGTAGGTAAGAGAAAAGGCATGTTGATTCTTTGAGAAAGCGAGTTCTAGAGGTGTAAACATATGAATCTGAGGCCTAAGAGATCTGGAACTGGACCCTGCTTTGAAATTTCATGTTACATTGAATAGCTAAATGAATTAATGGTAGAAGAGGGTGGGCAAATTTACAAAATGTGAGAATGGGGATGTATTCATGCTAACTGCAGTATTTTGTTTATATTTTTTGATTTGAAGACCTATAAATTACTCTATATGTACTGTAGTGGTGATCCAAAATCTGACTTCTTCCATCATAGCTAGCAACCTTGTTGGTAATATTTAAAGCTGGAATAAAGACAGGTCAGTGCCAAATTAAGTTCTATTATGTGGTGGGTACTCTAACTTATTTCTCCCTCCCAATTTGAGGAAATAAATGTTGCAGTTACTGTAGGAGAACCAGTTCTGTAGTTAATAGAATATTCTGAAATAAGCTTAATAAATTAGATTTGAGATAGAAGAGAGTATCCTGGGAATCTGCTTTTGAGGACCTAAGAGTCCATTAGTGCTGATCAGTTTTTTAGAAGCGTAGGACCAGGCAATCCCATTGTGTTGTAAGTCAAGAAAGTGGGGCAAACCACCAGCTTGGCTGAATGGGGAACTCCTTATGGAGTTCAAGAGGAAAAAGAAATTTTATGATCTCTGGAAGCAAGGTCAGGCTTCACAGGAAGATTACAGCACTGTCATTCATATGTGCAGGGAGAAGACATGAAAAGCCAAAGCTGAATTAGAATTGAAACTGACCAGTGTTGTGTCAGATAACAAGGGCTTTTTAAATTACATTAATAGCAAGAAGAGGTCTAAAGTAAACATTGGACTGATGCTTGTTAACAATAGTGATCTGACTAATAGGGATGAAGAAAAAGCAGAGGCATTCAGTGCTCTTTTTTTTTTGCCTCAGTCTTTAATAAAACTGACAGACCTTGGGCTTCCCAGTTCCCAGAGTCAGAAGACCATGGGTGTGGGAACAGTGACTTTCAATTTGTGGACACTGAAATTGTCAGGGACCACAGGTATCAACTGAATGTTCACAAGTCCATGGGGCCTGACGGGATTCACCCCAGTGTACTGAAGGAGCTAATGGATGTTATGGCAGAACCTCTCTCAATCATCTACCAGAGGTTTTGGGAGTCTGGGGAGGTCCCTGCTGACTGGAAGCTAGCTAATGTTATTCCAATTTACAAGAAAAGCACAAGGGAAGACCCACTGAAACTAAAGATCTGTTAGTCTAACATCAGTTCCTGGAAAAAATACAGAGATCATACTGGGTAGTATTGAAAGGCATTTAAAGAACCATGCAACCATCAGGCACAGTCAACATGGGTTCACAAAAGGAAAGTCCTGTTTAACTAATTTGGTATCTTTCTGTGATAGGGTTACCTGCCTGGTGGATGAAGGGAAGCCTGTGGATGTAGTTTTTCTGGATTTTAGTAAGGCTTTTGATACTGTCCATCACAGCATCCTTCTGGAGAAGTTGTCCAACTGTGGGACGAGCAAGTTCAGGGGATGCTGGGTGAAGAACTGGCTGGATGGCAGGACTCAAAGGGTTGTGGTGAATGGGGTACATCTGGCTGGTGACTGGTCACCAATGGTGTTCCTCAAGGTTCAATTCTAGGGCCAGTCCGGCTCAATATATTTATCAACAATTTGGATGTAGGAGTCAAATGCACCGTTTGCAAGTTTGCTGATGATACGAAACTGGGAGGTGCTGTTGACTCTTGAGGGACGAGATGTCTCGCAGAGGGATCTAGATAGATTGGAGTACTGGGAAATGATTAATGGTATGAAATTTAACAAGTCCTAATGCCTAATTCTGCACCTGGGAGGAGTGGCACTGTGCACAAATATAAATTGAGAGTGGCTGAAAAGCAGCCCTGCAGAAAGGGGTCTGGGGGTGCTGGTGAGCAGCAGCTCAACAGGAGTCAGCAGCATGTCCTGGCACCAAGAGGGCAAACCGCACCCTGAGGTGCATCCAACACAGCATAACCAGCCAGCCAAGAGGGGGGATTATCCCACTGTATTCAGCACTGGTGCAGCCTCACCTTGAGTATTGTGTGTAGTTCTGGGCCCCACCATTTAAGAAGGATGTAAAGGTCCTCAAATGTGTCCAGAGGAGGGCAACCAAGCTGGTGGCAGGGCTGGAAGGAGTATACTGTGAGGGGTGTCTGAGGACTTTGGACTTGTCTAGTTTGGAGAAAAGGAGACTGAGAGGCGACCTTATTGCTCTCTGCAGCTCCCTGGGGAGGGGACGTGAAGAGGGAGGTGCTGAGCTCTCCTCCCTGGGACCCACTGATAGGACATGTGGGAATGGTTCAGAGCTGTGCCAGGGGAGGTTTAGACTGGGTACTAGGAAACATTTCTTTACCGAGAGAGTGGTCAAACACTGGAACAGACTTCCTGGAGAGGTGGTTAATGCCCCAAGCCTGTCAGTGTTTAAGGGGTTTTTGGACAATGCCCTTACTAACATACTTTAACTTTTGGTCAGGCAGTTGGACTATGTGATTGTTATAGGTCCCTTCCAGATGAAATATTCTGTTCTTATTGTGGAGAAAATTCAGTGCTCCCCTCTAGTTGTTTCTGGATGAAAAATTTCAATGTTACAAAAGCAATCAATGAATCTTGGTCTATATAAAGGTGTTTCATGTCTCATAAAAAAACCCTAGCGAAACAAACAACAGCAAACAAACAAACAAACAAAAATACCAAACAGATTAGGTGTGCAGGGAAGTAATTAGGATGCAGAATTAGAGCTAATCACAAAACTTGGAAATGCAGAGTAAAACCTTGTTTTGAGGCATTTGGGGGATGCTCCTACAACCTCAGGACTGATACATTCAGACAAAGAGGAAGTCAGTTAAGAATGCCAAGAGGCTGCATGGGTGAACAAGGAGCTCTTGGACAAGCTCAAACACAAAAAGGGAGCCTACAGAGGGTGGCAGCAAGGACAGGTGGCCTGGGAGGGATATAGAAAAATTGTCCAAGTGACCAGGGATCAGGTTAGGAAGGCCAAAGCCCTGCTAGAATTAAATCTGGCCAGAGACGTCAAGGGAAACAAGAAAAGCTTCTACAAGTACATTGGTGATAAAAGGAAGACTAGGGAAAATGTGGGCCCTCCCCGGAAGGAAATGGAACACCTGGTCACTCAGGATATGGGGAAGGCTGAGGTACTCAGTGACTTTTTTGGCTCAGTCTTTACCAGCAAGTGCTCCAGCCATACCACTCAAGTTGCAGAAGGCAAAGGCGGGGACTGGGGGAATGAAGAACCATCCACTGTAGTGATCAGGTTTGAGACCATCTAAGGAACCTGAAGGTGCACAAGTCCAGGGGATGCGCTGAGGTGCATCCACAGGTCCTGAGGGAACTGGCAGATGAAGTGGCTAAGTCACTATTCACTTGAATAGTTTGAGAAGTTGTGGCAGTCCGGTGCAGTTCCCCCTGACTGGAAAAGGGGAAACAATTCCCCATTTTTAAAAAGGGAAAAAAAGAAGACGTGGGGAACTACAGGCCAGTCAGTCTCACCTCTGTGCCTGGGAAGACCATGTAGTGGATCCTCCTGGAACCTAGACTAGGGCACCTGGAAAACGAGGTGGTTGGTGACAGCCAACTTGGCTTCACTAAGGGCAAATAGTACCTGACAAATTCGGTGGCCACTTATGATGTAGTTACAGCATTGGTGAACAAGGGAGGAGCAACTGGTGTCATCTACCTGGACTTGTACAAAGCTTTTGACACTGTCCCACACAATATCCTTGACCTGTTGCAGTCAACAGCTTGATGTCCAAGAGGAGAGCAGTGATGAGTGGTGTTCCTCAGGGGTTGGTAGTGGGACCAGTGCTGCTTAACATCTTTGGCGACATGGACAGTGGGATCGATGCACCCTCAGCAAGCTCACCGACGACCCCGAGCTGTGTGGTGCAGTGACACGCTGGAGGGCAGGGATGGCACCCAGAGGGACCTGGGCAGGCTGGAGAGGGGGGCCCGGGAAGAAGGGAGGAGTGGGGGGAAGGTGTTCTCAAGATGTGGCAATGCTTCTCACTGTCCTGCTCTGTTAAGTGTTGTTAGTGTCTTTAATAAATCTGTGTTCTTTTTTTTCTTCCCCTAATGAGTCTGCCTTTTGCCTGTGAACATGAGTGATTTGCCCCTCCCTGTCTTGTCTCGAATCCCAAGCCTGGCTTGTTTTCACCTTCTTACCACTGGGGGGAAAGGTGAGAGTGAGTGGCCGTGTGGTGCTCAGTTGCCCAATGAGCTCAAACCACAACAGTCCTGCAAATGGGTCAAGACAATCCCAAGCACAGTTTGGGTGAGGAGTGCATATGGCAGCCTTGTGGAGAAGTAATACCCCTTGGGGGTATTAGTGAATGGAAAACTAACTGCCTGTGAGCCAGCTCCGTGGGCTCACAGCCCAGAACCCACCCGTGCCCTGGGCTGCAGCCAGAGCAGGGGGGGCAGCAGGGCCAGGGAGGGGATTCTCCCCCTCTGCTCCGCTCTGGGGAGACCCCCCTGCAGTGCTGGGGCCAGCTCGGGGGCCCCCAACAGCAGAAGGACACGGAGCTGCTCGAGCGGGGCCAGAGGAGGCCACGGAGATGCTGGGGGGGCTGGAGCAGCTCCCCTGGGGGGCCGGGCTGAGAGAGTTGGGGGGGTTCAGCCTGGAGAAGAGAAGGCTCCGGGGAGCCCTTCGAGCGGCCTCCCAGGGCTTAAAGGGGGGACAGGAGAGGTGGGGGGGGACTCTGGGTCAGGGGGTGGGGATGGGACGAGGGGTGATGGGTTTAAACTGCCAGAGGGCAGATTTAGATGAGATCTAAGGCAGAAATTGTTCCCTGTGCGGGGGGGAGGCGCTGGCCCAGGGTGCCCAGAGCAGCTGTGGCTGCCCCCTCCCTGGAAGGGTTCAAGGCCAGGTTGGATGGGGCTGGGAGCCCCCTGGGCTGGGGGAAGGGGGCCCTGCCCGGGGCAGGGACTTTGCAACTAGATGTTCTTTAAGGTCCCTTTCAGCCTAAACCATTCTATGATATAATATTCTATGATTTTTATCCTGGATAAATTGATAAATCATATGATTTATCAAAACATTGGTAATTCCAATCTCCAAAATAACTTTTGTATCTTAATAAAGAATGTCAAAGGTCTGAAGCAGTGATCAGGGATGAAAGTCTGTACTTCCCCATACTGGACTGATCTTAATGTCTTTTGTTTGCCTTACCCCAAGATCGTCTTCGGGACACACTGGTTCATGAAGCTTGCCATGCAGCCACATGGCTGATCAATGGTGTTCGTGATGGACATGGACGATTCTGGAGATTCTATGCTAATAAATCAGCTGTGATTCATCCGGAACTGCCAGTAGTAACACGATGCCACAGCTATGAGATTAATTACAAATTCATCTATGAGTGTGTTCTGTGCAATGCTACGTAAGTAACGTTTTGATTTCGCATATGAATATGTATCACCTTTGTGTCTAACTTGGCAGTCTCCTGTGTCTAGAAATCACGGGTCTTTTAAACTGTGAGGTCAGTGGGAATTAATACTGAGTTGTCACTTCACATTTCCTGAGCCCATAGAACCTCACTATGCGATTCCACATGTTTGTTTCCAGGTAGTTTAGAGGTCAGAACAGGCAGAAGTATCTTCTGAGGACCATTGGTGATGATGGAAGGTCTTTGGGAAGTGGTAAGAGATCAGAATACATGCATCAGCTTTGAGGGATAAGGCAGGGAAAGGTCATGCCATGTGGCTGCTCTCACTTTTCAGAAATTGCCTAAATGATGTACATTTGGAATCACCTTCTATTGCAGTTAATACTGAGTGAACTTGTGAAACTTTTTGGCCACTTGTCTCTGATTTCATGGTCAACACTGATTCTATTATAGGCTTTTTGGTAAGGGGATGGTATTTCCAGTCTTAACTAAATACTACATCAGAAGCAATACTTGTGGGCTTACACTGACAGCAGCGACTGGATCTGGCACATTCCTGTAGAATGCATGTGAGCAAAGTACTAGCGTGTGTTGCAGAAACAAGGCATTCCAAGTTCTTTGGAAATCTATCCACATTTTGAATTTTACAAAGTAGTATCTTTGAATGTGCCATGACAACAACTGAGGTTTGATCTAAGGAAAAACATTCCACAAGGAAGTGCTAGACTTGGCTTGGTGGACTGAGTTACTTTTTATATGCTCATCTTCGTCAAGAGACTGAGGACCACCTGATGCTGAAAGAAGTCAGTAGTAACTGGAATTCAAAAGCAGAACAAGTCTCCCTAAAAACTGGGCACAAAATGTGTGACAGTAATTAGGTATTAGAACAAAGTATCAGCAGAAGCTTTTCTGGGTTTTGTATCTTGATGACTTTGAATTAAGACTAAACGTTTTGACTAATCTTGTGTCTTTGTTATGGTAGTGCTAAGTAAAATGTAGAGACCAACAATATAATGCTTTCTACTGGTTTAAAATTCTATAAAAGACAGTTTTCTAGTTGATCTTTTACCTCACCAACTCTTTCAGCTTGTGTATATATTAAAGGAAGAAATGATATCTTGCAGCCACACAGATGTGAGCAGCCCTGTGATATGAAGGATTGAAGCTGGGACACAGCTCTATTGATACATTATTTGTAACATTGCAACAATTGCATAGTGATTGCATAATGATTGCTATATAACATCAATATATTATACAAACATATCGATATCATTATACTATATTGATATATATAGTATATACATTATACTTATATAACTGATATACTTACATACATCAGTATAATAATACCATAAATATGATACAATAATCATTATGCAACATGGCATAATGATTGCAACATTGGTCATCAGACTTAATGTTTTGTGAAATAAGAACTATATATGTATAGTAATTTCACAGGTTTCTTACATTTCATAGGTGTGGATGATGTTGCCTTTTCTGGAAGATCATAGCTGACCACAGGCTTCTGTATGTAACGACCTCAGTCTCAGGGGGAAAACATGAAGTTTTGTGAATTCACTTCTGCATAGCCCAGGAAACAGGCTGACAATTATGTGATTTTTTTTTATTATTATTATTTCCCCCCCAACTTTAGGAGGGGATTTTTTTTCTCAGGATCATTTGTGCTACTTGCAGAAGCATTGGAAGGAGACAGTATTTCACATATGAAAGAATCTTCCTGAAGTGTTTAATGCAATGCATTAGTTGCTTAGATGCAACAGAGCATTGAGAAGATTTGATGGTGATGGCTTTGAGGATAAACTCCAAGGGTTGGTTGATACATGGGTTGTGAAGGTGTTTCGAAATGTTGTAGCACTTCATACTACTGAGCTGAGAATAAAAGAGACAGAAGAAGGAACCAAGCTGAAAAGGCAGTGGAGAAAGTAGTGTAGAGAAATGTGTAATACAGATTTGATTGTTCCGCTGTGTGAAGTATGTAGTCTGTTTCCTGTTCTACAGTGCTAGTTTATAAATCTGACCTAAGTAGCATGGCAAAAGAGAAGGGACCCCTTTCCCACAAGTACTGTCTAACACAGGTGTGAAATCAAAGTACTTATTTTTCCATTTCAGGGTCGGACGTCATTCCAAGTCTCTGGACACAGAGCGCTTCATGTGTGCATTCTGTGGGGGGCAGCTGGTCCTGAGTCAGCCCACTCGGAAGAGTAGCGCTCCTCCTAGGACACACCCAATGCCATCTGCAAAGTATGTGGAAGAAAACTATGGACTTACTAAAAGAGAGCAGCATGGGCTGAGTCATGCCAAAGTCATGCAGAAACTCAGTGCTGATTTTGCTTTAAAAACTAAGCTTCAAGATTCCTTGTAATATCTCAATGCGCTTCCTTTCTTGATGCCACTTAAATTTTGTATGTAGTAGTAAATGAGTCTAACATGAGTCTAAAAATGTGTTTTGGAGGATTCCAGATAATTTTAATATTTTAGAATTAAATATTTCTAATAAAGAAGACCTTAAGGCCTTTTTTAAAATGGGCAAGAGTGAGCAAGAAGTAATGATGACAGACAGTCCATGGTGATGCACAACTCGGGGTATCCTATGAGCCAAACTTCTCTGATTCTGTCCGGATGAATTTCAGGCAGGAGAAGGGGCAGACCTGGGGAAGGTTTCAACATGGGGTCAGGCATTTTCCCACAGAGAGATTCTTGAGTCATCCTTTGCTGTTTCTGTTAAAAGTAAGTGGTAGGTGGATGATGCCTCAAATCTGTTAGAGGAAGCATGAGTTTCTGCAAAGCCCGCTGGTCCTTAGTGAGATCAAAGCTCTTTCTGATTAAATTTTTGTTGCAGTTTTTCCTCTATCACTGAGATTTCATAGAAGCTAAAATAGATGCAAAATGCCAGGTTGGGGAAAGCATATTCAAACACTTTGTACCATAGGATGAGACGGTCTAGTCAGATGATGCAAGTCTTTCATGTACAACATGACTTAATGTCTGTTCTAGTGTTTGTCTGCTGTGAATAAATTGCTCAGGGGATTAGTAATTTTGAATAATCAGTAAATGCCAATTTTATACCAACAGTGACAGTGGGCCTAGTTTTGTTTCAGTTTAACCGTGGCTGTGTAGGTGTAATATGTGAAAGCTTCTGATTTCTCCTAGCTAGTTTTGAGTTTCAGGTACATCAGGTCACTTTGCTTGCTGTTGAGAATACCTCTCCCTGCTCCCCACCTGCTGCTCTGCCTTTATCAATCCCATTACACTCCAACTGAAAAAGAACTATTAGCAGCATATGAAGGAATTTTTGCTGCTTCAGGAAAAGTTGGTACTGAAGCACAGCTCCTCTTGGCATCTCCACTGCCTGTGCTGAGCTAGATATTCAGAGGGAGGGTCCTATCTAGGCATCATGCAACTGATGCTACATTGAGTAAGGGGGGTTGCACTGATAATGCTACCGGCTCCAATGGGAAACTGACCACCCAGGAATCTTGGAAATGATCATGGGCTGGCCCGAGGGCTGAAACTTGAGAGTGATGCCAGAGCAGGTGACTTGTGCTGAAGAGGAATAGTAAATTGCCAGCAAATGAAAAGCAGTAGGACCTGTTGTATTGTGGGAAGACATTGGCGGTGGAAAGCTGCTTTGTGGGGTTCTACACAACTGCTGAAGGAAAAGGTGAATTAATTCAGTTTGCAGAAGTGAAAGCCATCCAGCTGGCTTTAAATATTGCTAAATGAGAAAAATCTCTATATTGACTCATGGATGGTGGCATGAGGAGAATGACGGACTCCGGCAACTCTGTAAGAGTCAGAAATGGAAATCCCTTTATTGCGGATACAAGTGCGTTTATAAAGCTTCCTAGCAACTGATCACACATAAACAGAAGGCTCGATTGGTTACCTGCATTCTTCCCACACTGTTCACATGCTTAAGACTAACACTGGATTGGTTGGTTATTACCCCCTGTCCATAATACACCAGACAATTCATTGGCTACAAGTTAGTCACTGCTATCCTAAAGCCTGTTGGTTAACTAAATCTTACATGCACAAACACAATGTTCTGTACACTTTTAGCTCAAGGTAGAAAACTTTTCACTGTTTAAGAGATGGCCAGATGTTTTCCATTAACCGTAGCCTGGCATGTTTTGTTCAGGCAGAGCTCAGCATCCTTATCTTGTTTTTCTACATTCCTGTTTGCTGCTCCCAAGGCTTCTGGCCAACGAAGGTCAAGATGTTCTCACCATTCACCAGCTGTACAGCACTCTCAGTTCTTCCTCTTCTCGTGTCCCTTTTGCAATGTAGCCAAAATCTTGCTCTTGTCCAACGTGGCCATTGTCGTCCGAAAACGATCCCACAGTGGCAGATGTTGTGTGGGGATGACTACAGCAATGAAAGTGGACCAACTGGCATGAGAGAGGCAAACCCCATAGTTGTGCTGATGACACATTAGGGTGTCTAGAAAGGGATGGGCTTGTGATCAAGGGGTGGGCTTGGCCATTGGTGCCACTGTACAGGTTATCCATGAATGTAAAACATGCACCATAATCAAACAAGCTAAGTGGCTAAAGCCTTTTTGGTATAGAAGATGATGGCTGAAATATCAATATGGGGAAGCCTGGCAGATTGATTATATCGCTACCACAAACCAGTATGTACTTACAATAGTGGAAGCGACTACAGGACGGTTGGAACCATGTCAATGCTCAGTATACTACCTTGGGCCTCGAAAAGCAAATTTTATGGTGACATGGCACCCCTGAAAAAATCAAATCAGACATTTCCTAAACAACCTCATAAATGCCTGGGGCAGAGAGCAGGGCGTTGACTGTGTGTGTCACATACCCTATCATGCACCAACCTCTGGGAAAATTGCACAATACAGTGGACTTAATAACTACGCTGAGAGCAATGGGTGCTAGGAAGTTCAAGCATTGGGATACAAATTTAGCAGAAGCCACTTGGCTAGTTAACACTAGGGGATCTGCTGGTCCACCTGGCCCTGCTCAATCAAAATCCCTGAGCACTGTGGAAGGAGATAAGGTCCCTGTTGTACATCTAAGAAACTGGCTGGCAAAAACCATCTGGGTTACCCCTTCCTTGGGAAAGGGAAAACCCATTTGTGGGATTATTTTAGCTCAAGGACCTAGGTGCACTTGGTGGATAATGCAGAAAGACAGGGAAGTCCAAAGTATACCTCAGGGTGATTTAATCCTGGGTGAAAGTAACCTGTGATTTGAGTTGTATGATGGCAGTGTTACCTGGTGCTGTATGTCACCACTGCTGTGGCTGCCTGTGCTGGTTTGGGCTGGGATAGAGTTAATTTTCTTTGCAGTAGCTTGTATGGGGCTATGTGTTTGTATTTCTGCTGGGAACTATTGATAAGGCAGAGATGTGTTTGTTACTTCTGAGCAGGTGCTTACACAGAGTAAGGCCTTTTCTGCCCCTCACCCCACCCCAGCAGTGAGCAGGCTGGAGGTGCACGAGGCGATGCGAGGGCACATAGCTGAGGCAGATAACCTCGACTCAGCAAAGGGACCTTCCATACTATATGACAACATGCTCAGCAATAAACCTGGAGGGTTGTGTTGGTTTCAGCTGGAATAAAGTTAACTTTATTCCTAGTAGCTGGTACAGTGCTGTGTTTTGGATTTAGGATGAGAATAATGTTGATAACACACCGATGTTTTAGTCGTTAGTAAGCAGTGTTCTATACTAAGTCAAGGGCTTTTCAGCTTCTCATACTGCCCTGCCAGTGGAGGCTGGGATGCACAAGAAGCTGGGAGGGGACACAGCCAGGACGGCTGACTTTTATAACAAAAGGGCTCAGTGATATGTCCATATCATATGACATCATGCCCAGTAGATCAACTGGGGGGAGTCGGCCAGGGGACACTGCGGCTTGGGAATTGACTGGGCATTGTTCAGTGGGTGGTGCGCAGCTGTATTGCACATCACTTGTTTTGTATAATTCCCTTATTATTACTATTTTCCTTTCATTTTCTGTCGTATTAAACTGTCTTTATCTCAACCCACCAGTTTTACCCTTTTTTTCTGTTTCTCTCCCCCATCCCACTGCAGATGGGGAGTGAGCGAGCAACTGTGTAGTGCTTAATTGCCTGATGGGCTTAAACCATGACAGGGGTGGAGAACTGGTCAGAATTCTGACTGGGAATTGGTCAGATGATGGTGAGCAATTTTTTTCATTTGCATTGCTTGGTTTTCTTGAGTTTTATTTTCCTCTTCCTTTTTTGATTTTTGTTTTACATTTTAAAATTTTATTTTTCATTATTAAATGATCTTCATCTCAACCCAGGAGTTTCTCACTTTTACCTTTCTGATTCCCTCCCCAGACCCACTGTGGGGGGACTGAGTGAGTGGCTGTGTGGTGCATAGTTGCTGTCTGGGGTTTAACCACGACAAGGGTGAACTCACTTTTCAACCTGTGGCAGCCAGAGGCTACAGCCAGAGGCAGCACAAGCAAGCAGGACATGCTGGAGAGGCTGGTAGCCCATCCCCTCAGCAAGCAGTGGGTGCAGGCAGCAGGAGGGGCAGTCCTGCAAGTGCCAGAGGATGATGAGACGAGAGCCTTGGTAGAGGAGGATAAGAGGGAAGACTGCAGCAACAAAGAGCTGTCACATCACCAGGGGAAGACATCACCATCTACAACATTTGTGTCAACCTCTTGGTCCTGGAGTTCTCCTAGCACCCCCACGCTGGACCCCAGGAGGGACCCAGCTGGCCCAACAGCAGGGGCATGGGTCAAGGGCCTGTGACTGACCAATAAGCCCCTACAATTATAGAATCATGGAACGGTTTGGGTTGGAAAGGTTCTTAAAGATTATTGAGTCCTGTAAGAAACTATGAACTAAGGGTATTGTTTATTGAAATTTATGTTAAGCTCAATGTAAAGGTTAGGCGGCAAAAGACAGAAAAACTGCTTATGCAAATAGCTGCCAGACACCGCTTGTGTGAGACAAGATAACCTGTGAGACAAGATGACCGCGTGAGACAAGATAACCGCAATTGCTTACACAAACCAGATACTTGTGCAAGCAGAAGGGGTACTGATCAAAGACAACCACGAATGTAAAAATGTATAAAAAGGAACTGTTTGAACTGATCAGTACGGCAGTTGGCGGAGCGCAGACTCCCCTGTCGTCCAGCGCTGTCTTTGCTCATATTCTACTTGCTATAATTAATAAAATTATAATTGGATTATGATCCATTGTGGTCTCAATTTATAACAATTTCATGGTGCCGTGACTCGGATAAGGAACGGTGGGCTTCTGTCCTCCGGGGAGGCGCCCCGCGGCAATCCGCGGCCCCGCGACTGATAGCCCACCCCATCCTTACCGACGAACCTAAATTCTAGAATAATGAGCAAAGGAGAAACCGGTAAAATCCCATAAAAATTCTGTGCACGGGAGTCCGGACGAAGACGCAGGATGCGTAAGTATATTGCGAATTTGTTCGCGGGTTTACCGTTCGGGCGGGATTGGGTTTCCTGGATTATAACGAATGAGAGGTTCGATATACTGAACCAAGCGAGTGCGGACCCTTAAGTACTGCGTTTCCCATTTCCCGCGAGGGACTGGGCCAGGAACAAGGGGAGCGAGTGAGTGTGTGTTTGTGGATAATCCAGAAGATGGGGGCGAAGGGCAGCAAGCCTTCGACTCCCATGGGAAGGGTACCCACTGTACCTAAGAATACCCCTCTGGCATATATCTTAGACAATTGGAGATATTTCCCTGGAACACTAGGGAAAGATAAGCAGAAAATGATAGAATATTGTACTAAGATATGGGGAGGGAAGAAGATTTCTAAAAATGTCTTTTGGCCAGTCTGCGGGTCAGAAGAAGATTGGATAAGGCAACAATTAAATCTCTGGGTTAATAATAAAAAACCCCTTAACCCGGAAGAAAGTCAGTATGCGGGAGTGTGGCTAAAAAGACTGGGAGCTAGACTTTACCCGCTGAATGAAATAAACTAAACAAAAGAAAAAGAAGGAAGGGTTAGACGAAACCCTTCTAACCCCCCCTCCTTACA